CATAATGATATAGTCATCAAATATGTCAACATTGGATACATTCAATTCATCATGTTGCTCGTTCAATAAAGATAGATGATTAACCTGGGTATGATTCGTTCAATTAATTTCATTTTTTAATTGTTTCTGTAATTTAGATTTATTCCGAAGGAATGTTGAATGTCTATCTATCTATACTATATTATAAAGCATTTGACAAAAACTCTTAAAAACCACTTTTTATGCGTAAAATACTGTTTATTAATGCATATTACTTAAAACTCAAGATTGCAAGTAGATTGTGCGTAAGTTTAACTTATTAAAGCTCGATTTTTGAAATTGTATAACTAATTGCGGATAAATATAATCAAATAGAGGATAAAATACATATTTAGGTGCCCAATTTTGAAGACAGCATTATAAAAGAAAACTCTGTCGTTGTAATAGTTCTCGGAAGTTTCGATTTTGTTGGTTTAAATTTCGAATATTTATTATGATAAAGAAATCATGAGTTTAAATTTCGGTCTTAATATATATGTTTAATAAATCATGAATAATATGGTAATAGACGGATGATAAAACTTTTTAACGTTTCAATGAGACTCTTGAGACCATTTCAAACAACATTGAACTAGTAAAAGCCTTTTTATATATCTAACTTGAATTAATATAACTATTAATTAACTAAACTTTAGACATCGGGTTGCTTCAAATTAAGGGGTCGTTTACCAAATGTTTACATTAGTAAGCGCTTACCAAGTCACATTATCTTACCGGGTGAATATGGCAAGTACCAAGAATCTTACTCGGTAAGAACGAAGGCAAGGACCAAGAGTCTTAACCGATAAGTGATGGCGACGAACCAAAGGGCCTCTGGCCTAGCGGTATCGTAGCCCTTGACCTTCTAGGAGGTCAGGGGTTCAAACCTCACCATAGGTGAGGAGGGTGTGTGAGTTTATTTGTTGTTTTTGCCGTATATAAATATTATATACTTCAAAAAAAAAAGTGATGGCGACGACTCTTACCACAGTTAGCGCTTACCGGGTCAATTATTACATATAATGTTGTTTTGGTGTACTCAAATCTTACTCGGAAAGTAAATGATAGTGTTGAATTTTACCGGGTAAGTGTTTAGGTAAACGGCTCCTAAGTTATTATACATTGAATTAAATTGACAAGGTTGATCGAATTAGTAGGGTTTTTGATCACCGATAGAAATAATAATGGTTTAAAGAGGGTTAATAAAAATGGATTTATTTTTATTATTAAATGGGCAAAAGAAATAAATTCAGTTCTAAAATATTGAATGGGTAATTTTTTAGTATTAAATAAATTAATTTTTATCTTTTATTTCTCTCTCCTTAATAAATGAATGACGTATTTTTTTGTAATTGTTGGACATGAAGTACAATGAAAATTTGGAACAACTCGATCACAATTGACCCATTTAATCGATGCTAAAAATGTTATCAATTTAATGGTTCATCAACATTTCATTCAAGTCGGGTTTTTTCGGAAATGTTTTTTTTTTCTTGGGACAAACATGCATTTTACTGGACACTACTTAGGGGGTGTTTGGTTCGTCAGAATCTGATGGAATTGGAATGGTCAATTCTGTTGACCAAATTTTATTCCAATGTTTGGTTACCCATGGAATGGAATTGAGTTCCAAAGATTCCCTCATCTGAGGATTTCATCATTCCTTCCTAAAACTGATGGAATTGAAATTCATTTCATCCAAAATTGTGTAAATGACAAAAATACTCTCATCTTCTTTCTCCTTTTTCGATCCAATTCAGCACAATTCTTGATTGGAAACCTCTTTGCCGGCCATCATCATCCTCCCCATTCGGTGATACCAGAAATAAAAAACAAAAGGAAATCCTTGTCCTAAACCAGAAATAAAACCTCCTTATCGCCATCATCATCCCCCTCCCCCGGTTTAAACCCATGTGAAATTTCGTCCCTATGATGTTTGAATAGATTCAACGGAAGCACCAGTGGTTCAGGGATTTGTCCCTGTGCATGTACGTTTAAACCTATGTGAGAGTTCATCCCTACGGATTTAGAAGGCAGATTTGTGAACGGTTTGTCGTGCAAAGCTATAGATGGATGAGGGAAAGAAAGATAAAAAGTAAAAGAAAAAAGGAGAAGGTTGTTACAGATGAAGATGTTGGTAAGGAAGAGAAAAAGAAGAAGGATGCAGATGAGGAAGCTGGTGAGGTGCAGAATGGAGAAGAGAGGGTAAAAAAAAGTTTGTTCTCCATATGTAATGTAATTTTAAAAAAATGAAAGAAAGGGTATTTTTGTCCTTTTTTCATCATTCCATTCCAATTCTATTGCAAACCAAACAGACAGATTCCAATTTATTAGACAGATTACAATACATTCCTGCCAACAAACATTTGGTCAAACCTGATAACATTTCATTTCAATTCCTTCCGGATTCCAATTTTTTGACATATTTCATTCATTAATAAATCATTCTGCGAACCAAACGCCTCCTAAGAATCAGCTTAGAAATCATTCTCCATTCCAATGAGTTTGTTTTAGTTTATATGTTATTTTGGTTTTTACAAGATTCAACTAAAGATTAGAGATGGCCCGTATGGACCCAGCCCAGGACCAGCTTAGTATCGGGACCGATTTGGACATGTATCTCTATTACTAGGAAAAGATGGATAAAAATGTGTCGGTCAGCAAATCCAACCCAACCCCTCTTAAAATTTTACTCGTTTGACTTGAACCGACTGACTCATTCATATTGCCAACTATACCGAAGCCTGGAGGCACGTAAGTTTTAATTTGTCCCCGTTAATCACTCTCGGCTACCTCTTGGTTCAGATATTTTACAGTTAACCACCGAAATTTGATGGTTATCATTCAATACGGTTTCTAAGCATTCGCTTAGTTTCTACAAATGGTTTGCTGTTTGCACAACTGATACAACATTTACAAACTAAATCCGTGCAAGGTTTTCAGTGAAGATGTAAACCTCGTCATATCCCTTGCTGCGAAATCAATAATTAGAAAACGAGTTAGCAATCTAAAGATTCATTTTTCACACGATATAAAAAAGACCCATAAAATAAGATGTCTGACTAAAAAGAAGCAGAATCAAACGAGCCCAGTGAATCTCATGTAACAAAGTTAGAAGGTTTTTGAGAATTACCCAGCCTTGCCACAAAAAGTGGGACTGTAATTGTAAATAAGATTATCCAGCACTTTTCGGACCGGTGGTCTGTTCAAAGATTTTCTAGCCTCGCTGCAGATAAGTAAAGTCGATGAAATCGAGGATTTTTAGCAATATGGAAACGTTGTTTCGTAGTTTCGTGCTTAAAGAACCGATGGTAAATGCTAGATCCAAACACGTACCTTACAAAAAAGTTGGCAACATGTTGAGTCACTTGAACTGCTTCATCTGAATGTGGAATTTTCGACAAGCCCCACTCGAAAGCATTTTTCTGCATCATACGTCATGGAACTTAGCGATTATTTTATCATAATAGGTCTATTGGGAGCAAGACGTTTAGACATTAGGATGCGTTTGGTACACAAACGTGACTGGATGGACGAGAGTGAGGTTGCCCGGGTGAAACAATTGTGGAAGGTCTTAGGGTTTTAATTTGACATGAGTAGTTTAGTAATTTACCAATCTTATCTTATCTTCATGATTTTTGTTACACCCATTTTAGTGGGACAAAAATACCACTCAAATCCTGCCTTGTTATAATCTAATGTCGCGTCAACGTCAGACAACAAGTTTTTGTACTGTCATGTCCAGACTCACCATCAGGCTCTGCGTATCTTTCTACGAAAAGAAATGGGTAGGCTAAATGCAACCTTACCAATTAATTTCCTCCTCACACATCACCAGCAACACTCACTTTTTACATTTTCAATGCATGAATTGACTTGGTTATGACATCTATAAGGGTGCATACAGCATACCCCAATAGCCGATCTCTCCAACCAACTTCACTTTTTAACCAATTTTTCAATTGAATTCCCACTTTAGTCAACTCGATTTTCAGATTAAAAAAAAAAGGAAAAAAGATTTTTTTTTGCGTAAGATTCAAATTTTTGCTCAAGGATACAAATTTTTGCATAAGGATTCAAAATGCGTAAAGCATCTGCGTAAAGACCGAATATTTTAAGAAGATGCTCTAAAAAGTGAATTTGGTTGATAGGATTGGCTATTTCAGTCAATTTCCCTAAATCTAGTGGTTGCTATAGAGCAAAACATTAGAGAAGTGAAGTACCTCTGGGTGCCACTGGACAGCAATCACCGGATATCTTTGTGATTGAGCTGTTGACACATAAACCTGATGAATGAGTTTTAATAGTTTAGATCTTGATCTTGGTATCGTAAACGAAGTGCATGTTAGATGGCTATGTCAGAATATGTGGAACCCTGTCAGATTATCTCGAGAAATGGTCCAAGTCTAGCCGATGTAAGACTCCAACAACAGGTTCCATAACAATTTGATAGGTATTCGAAAGAAAATAAGTGCAACAACAATTGTTAAGACGTGCACCTTGTTATCTTCATCGGTGCTAGTTGTTAAGATCTTGAAGAAATCGGACAGGTTCTTGTTTTCTTGAAATGTTTCTGGTGATATACCATACTGTTACACCGAGGAAAAACAAATTCATTCACGTTCTATATTCGGATATACTCTTAAAAAGTATATCAAGATTTGTACAAATAATCATACAACATCCGATATTTTTGACTCACTTTATGATTCTGCATCACAAGACGATCTGTACTTAACTTTGCAAGCAATTCAGCAGGAAATCTGCACAAAATAATAACTTCTAATTGATTTACAGCCACACACACAAATAACTGCACTCGAGATAGGATCAAAATAAGTTGCGTACTCAACGGAACTATGAACATCTCCTATCCCCATGAATCTAATATAAAACTGTATGCAGAAGTTCAACTTTCGTCAATCACATTCGCATTTAAGAATGAAATCATCAAAGCATATTATCGTCACTAACAGGACGAGAAATTGTCCAAAATAGCCATTTTTTACCTCCTACCAATTCAATTTTGCAAGTAGAATTGTGGAAACTCGCAAAATCCACTTTTTATGAATATAAAATTCATAAAGTATCAATTTTACAGGTTGCTAAAGTGTTACTTGGAAAAAGATGCCACTTACGCAACTTGCTAAAGGGTTACTTACCCAACTTGCAGAAGTGCTACTTTCACAAGTAACACTTTAGCACCTTGCAAAAATGTTACTTTGTGAATATTAAATTCATAAAAAGTAGATTTTGCAAGTTGCTAACTACTTGCAAGGTCTTGGCTATTATGGTCAAAATTGAGTAAAAAAGCAGTTATAAAATGAACTGGGGAGTCCAGAACGGGACAATTTCCTCGTCATGACCATCAACACACATGGATTAATTCAAATTTCATCATTTTTACCGAATGATTCCCACTAGAATGTAAGTTTATGTTTGGCCAAATATTTCGTCTTTTGATGGGTTAGTCATATCTTTTCAAGTCATCTACTCAAAAAGATGAATCCCAGTGCTTTAGACACACGAAACTGAATACTTCCACGCCTTAAAGTAACAGAACTACAACTTGAAAAGCAACTATGTAGTACCTTTGAAAAACTGTTCCTTCAATATCAATGTTTTTCATGAATTGAATTGTAGATGCTTGATCTGATGCGCTAAATTCTTCAAGGATTTTATTATTCTGGTAACACGGAAGTACAAGATAATAATTACACCCAAAACAAGAAAAACCAGATTAAACGTAGGAAAGCAACATATGTTAATGTTATGGCTAATGATTCCAAAAAGAGGTGTATACAGGTGCCATAAGAATTGGAGTACCAGTGAAAAAAGCACTTGCACAAAAAACCAGCAATAAATAACCGAACATGGCTTACTTTGCTAACGATCATGGTTAAGAGTTCGAAACCTAAGCAAATCGCTAGCAAGGGAAAATGGTCTCCTGCATCATTCTTCTTCAGAACTTGCTGAGTAACAAAAAACGATAATCAGAAAAGTTATGAACTGTAGGAGTTCCGAAGCAACTGTACTATTATAACATCTTTTTTATCTTTTATATTATAAAAGAAACAACCACAAACAATCATGTGGCACCATGAGATTTTAGTATTCTCAAATCTTGAGTCGTTATGGTTTTGGTTATCCCACATCAGTGAGCAGATGATATATTGGAAGAGAAAAGTGGGTACATGAAAGGAGGAGTGGATGCCTTCGAAAGATAAAAGGGTCTGTTGGCTAAATATGCCACGCTCGCCTAGAATGGTGAGTGCTGTATGGCTATCAAGACATATGGCCGACATAATTTGTGGCAACTTATAGGGTTGGCTCCTTCTGGCTGACCCTGGCCGACCCTCCTTTGCAAAAGAAATCTTTTATATTATTACCAGGAATAACCACAAATATCGATGTGCCATGAGATTTTAGTATTCCCAAAACTTGAGTTGTGATGTTGGGTTATTGACGTGACGCCATGATAACAGATTTTACATTTTTTAACATGGATTTTGATCACCAAAACAGATTGATACCTATACTTCACAATGTCCTAAAACATGTACTTCTGTATATTATAGCTACTGTTCAGTCCATAACTTAAAGACATCAATCTATGGTAGCTTCAAATAAGAAGTTACCCACCCACTTGGGTTGTGAGGAACCGGTTAAGGCTCAAATAGATGCAGTGGAAATCTCATCTTCCCTGGTTTGAATCCAAGCACTACCAAAACCCTTACTGGAGGTTCACCTTCGATGACTCCGGATCATTCATGGTCACGCAGGGATGAGGTCTGGTGGGCGTAAGCGGGCCCGAATAACCATGGTTACCCAAAATATGTATATATATATATATATAGGAAGTTACACTTTTTTGCCAAATTAAGGTTCTGCTTGTTAGTAGCTTAATGAGCTTAATACTACTTACAGCTGATACAGTCAGCTACACATAACTGTTTGGTAGAGGCGTAATGATATAAAAAATGGTTTTTATGTAAGCCTAAGCAAAACCTTCTCTATCCACACAGACAGGTTAATCCATAAAGACAGTTTATCCATAGAGGACTTAATGGATGCATCTGAATGTAACTTTATGCAGCAAACAGAACAGTTTTCAGAGCTGCAATTACCTTAAAAATCCCTTCAACCACCTCGAAGTACAGGCCATTCTTAGCCCATCCACCAGTAAAAAGAACTCCATTCACCAGATTCAGTTTCTGTAATGCAAATGCAGAATCAGCTGAAACCTAAATTCCCAAATTCCACTTCCTCCGAATTGATGATTCAAATAAATTCAGTTCATCTTTTGAGGGAAATTATGAATAAATATGATTCAAATAAATTCACCTCATGTCTTGAGGGAAAATTTGAATAAATAATTGAAAATTTTGAAAGAAAGATAGCTACATTTACGAAAGGAACTATGAAGTAAGAAATTACGCTTTGGAGAATCTCAGGAGGTTCGTTATATATGAGTGGAATAACCCTAGCACCCGCCGATTCAACGAACTTCACATAAGAGGCGGCAATATATGAAGCATTGGTGGCATTATTAAGTCGACCGGAGGCACCATCTCCTGGATGGCTGAGAATTCCAATGATCGGACGGAAATTCAGCTTGGATTCCGGCGTAGGAAACGTAGACGACAGTCTGGAATCGGAATCAGACGGCAAGAGGATCGTTGGCTCGGAAGAAGTTTTACCGGAACTAACTTCTTTACATAGAGAGACTAAAAAAGGGATCCATAAATAGTTCCACATATCTGAAGGGGTCGCAGAGGAAGTGGAGGCGGAATCCGAGGTGGAGCTATGTTGAGTAACAGTGGACGGTGGCGGTAGCGGTGGTTGTTGTGGCGGTGTCATCGGAGAAGAAGGTGGACGGAGGTCGGAGGCCACCCTTGGTGGTGTTTTGACATGGATTAATTGATCGCGACGATGGCCGGTGGCAATGCCGTGATCGTGATTATAAACCGTACGGTTTTTAACAAAATGGGACATCAAAACGAACCATCGCAGCCAATAAGGATTTGCCACGTGTCGTCGTATTGTCGTCCTTATCCCATCTATAATCGAAAATGAACACCTACAAATATTTATTTTGTTTTTTTATTAGTCACGTTGTTTTTATTCTAAATAATTAACAACAATAATTAATTTCGTATAGAAATTATTAAACTTTAAAAATAAAAATAAAAATTAAAAACCTTATCTATATTATCTATACCATATCATAAATCATTTGAAAAAAAAACTCTTAAAAACCATTTTTTATGTATGAAATAATGTTTACTGTAAATAAGTATAACTTATTAAAACTTCATGTTTGAATTCGTGTAATTAACTGCAGATAAATATAATCTAGAGAATAAATATCTCATTTTAAATATAAAAAATCTAAAATATAATTAGAATAATGATTGAGTTCTAACAAAATACTTAATTATCATCTTTATAAAAAATATATTATTAAACCAAAAATAAAAAAATTAATTAAAATAAATAAATAGTTAGTTTGATACTAATATCAATATTTTTTTCCTATTATTTATGATATCTTCATATTTATATCTTATTCAAAAACAAAAACATTATCGTCTTCTCAAAACCATATAAAACCGTATTATAACATCAACTGAGACAAAAAAAAACACAAAACATTAAAATCAAAATGTATTTCAATGCATTGTATGAGTATCATTCTAATCGACTAAAATGTATTGTTAATTGTTATATCTAAAATAATAATTGAATTAATAAAAAAAAAATATTCAATAATTCAAGAATGCCACGTTCATCTATTATTTTTTATCAAAATAAATATAATAAATAAAGAACCAATAATGCATTAAAGACGATAAATAAATTAATAAAACAATTTGATATTCTTTTATTGTTGATATTTAAAAATTGGGTGTTAAAAAATTAGTTATTCCAAATAATTTTTTGTTCGTTTATGTCCACTCGTTTTCGATCACTAATTTTTTTTGTATAATTATGGATTTTCTGGTCAGTTTATATGCATCGATTAGTCTCCTGAGTGTCCACAAATGGTCTAAAAAGTCATTGAAGATGAATCTCTATGATTATAAAGGCTTTGACAACATCTAGATTCGAAAATCGACCTTGATCATAATTTAAATAACACAAATTACCAATACAAACTCGGTTTATTTACAGTTTTACCCATATGCAACTGATATACAACCTATCAGTCAATATGGTCTCTGCCCAATAACATTACCATGAGGATAATACTCGCAAACTACATAAGTATCCCCACTGTTGCACTTTGTTTTGGCACACCCGACATATTTGGTACTCTTCCAAACCATCTGTGTGTAATGCAAGCAATCTGTGTTCGGCAAGCACGCATTATGTGTGGAATCATAGTACTTTTCTTGAAAGGCCCATGAACCAACCGCCTCCGCCACCTTCCATTGCCGCCCTTGACCCCAAAATATATTCTCACCTAAATCACCCACAGAATGGTCCAGTGCACAGTCTCCCCTTCTCGTGTTGGCATGCCATTTTGCAAAGTTAGCCAATCTGGTGTTCCACACGAGAAGAGGGAGGTTGTGTTTGGCTCTCACTACATTATGAGAGTCCAAGAACTGCTTGATGGTGGTCGCTTGACGGGTTTGTGGTGGTGTCGTGATGGTTGCAACCGCGGTTGAGAAGAGAATCATAAGCAAATAGGGGTGGAGGAGGGTAATTGTGGCCATTTTGCTAATTCATTTAGGTTGAAAGTAGGAAGTGTGTGTGTATATATATATATATATATATATATATACATATAAATGGTTTCTAAGGGCCTAAAATGGTGGCTGAAAATATGTCTATTTGTTCATGAGAACATGAAGGGATTGATCGTGAGTAGAAATGTGTGCATATAGAATTAAAATAAATTCATGTAGTCAAATTAACAATTTGTATAGAATAATTCTATAAAAATAATCTTGGTAAAAAAATCTATAAAAGATAGTCAAAATTCATATAAAAATGTAAGGGGTCGTTTACCAAACCACTTACCAGGTAAACGCTTACCAGTAAAATTCAACATTGTCACTTTCTTACCTGGTAAGATTTTAGTCCACCAAAATGGCATTGGATACAACAATTTACCTGTTAAGTGCTAACTGTGGTAAGAGTTATCGTTCTCGCTTACAACGATAAGACTCTCGGTCTTTGTCTTGCTCTTATCGGGTACTATTTTTGGCTGCCATATTCATCTGGTAAGGTAATGTGACTTAAAAAAAAAGGTTTAATGGCGGGGACCTCATGGCCCCGTGGTCCACATTTGTGAACCCTACCTGCCCTACCTCTATAGGCAAGGTAATGTGACTTAGTAAGCACTTACACGGGTAAGCGTTTGGTAAACGGTTCCTAAGAGTATTTTTGATGTTGATGTTGATGTTGATATTGATATGAAAAAGATTATTTGTAGGTTTGGATCACACTCAGATGGGATCTAACCTGTTTTTTTTTTGTCTGTCGTATTCAATAAATAAAACCAATTTTTTTACGAGTTTAATAAGTTGTCTGTATCTAGCCTGTAAACAGGTTGGACTTACCTACAAAATAACGGGCTTAAAAAACTTGTTACATTAAAAAAAGATATGTAAGTTATTCAAAATATAAATTTTATTTTCCAGATAAAATAAAACGCAAAAATATAACAAAGTACATATCTAAGAAATAATAGTTTCATAAAAATAAGGAGCACGTGCATTTCCTCTAAAAGAATTTCTTAACGGTATCAGATTATGAATTTTCAACAACCAAATATTTTACCACGTATTATTTCAATATCGAGATTCGACAGGTATTATATGACATATCATATATATATATATATATATATATATATATATATATATATATATATATATNTTTATCAATATCCAATATTATGACTCTTTAATAATTAAACATTTCACCACCTAATATTTGAAGACTGAGATTTAGTAGGTATTATATGACATATCATATATATATATATATATATATATATATATATATATATATATATATATATATTTATTTATTTATTTATTTATTTGGAAAACGACTATAAAATAGACCCCGTAACATATATTTGATAGACGGTTGGAACTCAACAAGGAAGCTCAATGCCTCAGTCCATAATTAGATAAGGAGACTTCTAATGTTTTTTTTAGTCAAAAACAGTAACGAGTTATTAATTATATAAAATTTAATTACTTCTAAAAATATAAACAATCATAAAGCACGTCCAAGATTCTTTATCATCAGGGTCTCACATTGATTATATCGATTTTCACCTAAAATCTTTTGGTTTTACGAAAAAACATTTATCGGAACCGTTCTTGTAACCAACCAAACGGGTTGACTTTAATAGATGCGTGAGAGTAAAATAACAAGAGGAAGGCAAATCAAAAACCCAATTGGATTACATCGAGCGGGTAAATTATAGCATGGCTTAGGGGTATGCATCGAGCGGGGTGGACCGCTTCAGGTGGACAAATCAAAAACCCAATTGGATTTCGGATATGAAAGACTGATTTTTGGGTTTATATAAATACCCTATTTTTGATTTAGATTCCCCTTCACATAGCTGTTTACGTTGCTTATTTAAAGTGTTTATTAACTTTTTTTCATTGTGGTACCAATAATTAGAAGTTTTTAGTGTTTTGATCGGAAAAAAAAGAAAGAAATGCTTATTCCGGTTTGACACAAATGACAATGAGTTTTTAACAAGTTACTTCTTTCTAACTTGTTTCGGTGTGGTACGGATAATAAAAAGTTTTTAATGTTTGGATGGAAAAAAATTTCATGTATTTTATCAGTTTCTCCCAAATGATATTATCGTAAGTTAATCTAAATACTTTTTATAAAACTCCAGTTTGTCACGGTATAAATTGATATAAAAAAAACACCCCATCGGTATGTCTGCAATTTTTCCCTTCCCTTAAACCCTAAACATGGCGCCATCAAATTAATCCAACGAAAACCCAAAAATGATTCTCTCCAAAACCCTCCGTTCTCATCAAATTCGCACTCTCTCCAATCTCTCACACACCTCCCTGAGTCATCTTCCCCTAAACCCTAAACAACACCACACTGAACCCCATTTGATTTCTTCCACCATACCCACTTCAATTTTCAGCAGAAACATCTCTCTTTCCTCTCAATTCCGACACGAATTCGCTACCCAAAACCCAAACCACAACTCAAAGAAGCCATTAGAAGCCTTTTTCACAGAAGCAATCGGGTTATCCAAACCCGACACCGAAGATGGCCACGATGAAAAGAAAGAACTCAAGAAAAGCTTGCAAAAATTGGAGGAGGAATTGAGAAGATCTAAGAAAGACCCATCGAAAGAAACAACGACCTCATCAAATTCGTTTTCGAAAAAGCCATTAGAAACCCTTTTCACAGAAGCAATTGGGTTATCGAAAATTGGGGAAGAAATCGATATTAATGAGATTGAAAACGATGGTCGAGAATCACAGAAGGGTTTGAAGACGTTATCGAGTTTCTTTTTGAGTAACGATCAAAGAGGGAAATTGATAAAAGAATCTAAGAAATTAGAGGAATCGATGGATTTCAAACAGCTATCATCTGATATGGCTGAATTTGCAGCTTATTTGCATTCAAAAGGGTATTTGAAAACTGCAAATTTCCTCCAAAACAATAAGTTTGATGTTTCTTGTTTTGAGAACAGTTTTGGCAGGGATTACTTGAAGTTTGCAGCTGAAAATTTTGCTAGAGATCATCGGGAAATCCACAAGTAAGTACCAAGTTCATTTCTGTTTCTTTCGATACAATGTAGTTGATGAAGGGGCCGTTTACCACACGATACCAGATGAATATGATAAGGATCAAAAATCTTACCCGGTAAGTGAGGGTGATGACTCTTGCCATGGTACGCGTTTACCTTGTAAATTGTTGCATACGATACTGTTTTGGTGGACTAAAGTCTTATATGGTAAGTAAATAATAGTGTTAAATTTACCGGTAAGCGCTTACCGAGTAAGTGTTTGGTAAACGGCCCCGAAGTAATTGCTAAAGGGGAAGTATCTAGTCCCTTAGTCAGTGAACATTTTTCAAAAACCGCACCTAAGGCGGTGCCTCTCGGATCCTGCACGAGGCTTACGCCTTGGTTCGATGAGGCGTGAGGCGCTGTCGAGGTGTACACCTCAGATGATATGTTTTGGTAATGTTCTTTTAGCTCTTTTCCGTAAGTTTTATCGCAGGAGTAGTACTTTCTTTTTCGGGTGTCTTTTATTATTTCAAAAAACTAGAAGTCAAAGTCGAATAACCTAGGGATGAGATTGGTAGCGGATCGGTTGGTACGAAACTTTTTGGGATTGAAAACGAGTACCGAAAACTGAACCGTAGAGATCCCTTCTTATGCTTCTTATCTTAAATCTTCTTCTCACACGATCCTTCGTCTTTTGGTGTGTATATATATATATATATCTTCGCCTTGGAGCTTACTCCTCGGACTGCATCGAGGCTTACGCATCTCCTCGTTGAGGGGAAACGCCACATGATTTTGCCTTTTAAAGCCTTGGTAGCAGGATAGAAGATTTTGCCTTTTAAAACCTTGCTTACGCCTCGAGGCCTGAATGTTTTATGTATGAAGCGTTCAGTACTATTTTCCACTCATAAAACAACACGTTTCACATATGAAACAACACCGTATAAGTACTGCATCTTCACACTGTTGTTTCATTCATGAAACAATACATGAAAACTGTACAATTTATTGGGTTTGTAAATGATTACGCGTCTTGTCTTGAAAAGTAACGTGCTTCTTTTACTGTGAGAAGTAAGGGTGTGTGCTGTAAAAAGTAAAGGTGCGTTTAGTACCTGGGACAAGACGTGACATTGTGACAAAACAATACAAAAAATTGTTGTCTTGCATTTGGTACGGCATTAAATGGGACAGGGAATGAACCGAGACAAAATGCATGTTTTTTATCCTCCCAGAATAGGCGGAATTAGAATCAGGGCAAGAGAGACAAGATTGGTAAATTACCAAACTACCCATGTCGAATTAAACCCTAAAACCTTTCGGAATTCTTTCACCCACCTACATCATTCTCACCCGTTCAATCATGTCCGGTCCTGTCGGTTACCAAACGCACCCCTAAGAGTCGAGTCATGCTCGTTTTGGTCATTTAGCTTCTTCACTTTCTGAATCCGAGTTATATGACAAAATTAAGATGTGATGCTACGTGCTGCGCCTTATAAGCTTTCTGATTCTGTTACCTGAATTTTGATAATTTAAGGTGGTTGCCCGATAAGGATTTGAAAACGGTGGCGCAATTCGGATGCCCTTCCCTTGGCCGGAAGAACATTTTCTCAGCCAAATCAATGCGCCTTTTTTACGGGATTCAAGAAGAAACCGTTAGTGATTGTTTTTTTTTCATTCGCATGCTAATAGACGAATATATCGAAAGGAAATCGAAATGGAAGTTTTGATTCTTTTTCTACATACTTTCAGGTATGCAACAAGTGTGTGTTGAAAGAGTCGTGCAAGTTCGTGAACCAGAGTGTTTGGAAAAAAGGGGCGAAGAATATGGATTTGATCGCTGTAATGAGGGTCGTAACGTTGTATGGTCTCGAGGCCATACCGACTCAGTTAGAAGTTCCCGATGACGTAAAGAATGCCGTCAACCGGTTGCTAAAAGAAGTCGTTCGGTTAAGTAAAATTGAATCTTGAGGGTCAGGTACTTGCGTATACATTAAACAACAAGGGGAAAATACCAGAAAATTAACTAATTTGTCTTTTAGGGCCTGTTTGTTAGCAACTTAAGAAGCTTAATGTGACTCACTGCTTGTTTGGACAACGATACATGAATGTTTGGAAATGACTGATATAGAAAGTGACTTGTTCATTTTGTTTCTAGGGGTAGCAAAAAAAATTCCAAACATACTCTCCTAATCAGTAAAAAACTCGCTTCATCTATGAAGAAACCTTCAGATACAAGAATCTATATTATGTTATAAAGCATTTGATAAAAACTTTTAAAAACCATTTTTTTTATGCACGAAGTACTGTTTATTAATGTATATTACTTGAAATTCAAGATTACAAGTAAATTTTGTGTAAATATAATTTATTAAAGTTTTATGTTTGAATTTATGTAACTAATTATAGATAAATATAATTAAATACATGATAAACGTCTTATTTTAAATGTTTTATGGTTTAAATAAAAATAGATTCCATAGGGTAGGAAGCATGTATATTATGTGATTGACCATAGTTGGACTTGGGTCACGTGAAAGCAGATGGGTAATGGAGTCCACGTAATCAAGTGTGGGTACCACATCCCACGCCAAAATCCCCACCCCCACTTCTCAAATCTCACTCGCCCCCTTCTGAACGGTTTTTTACACGTGCACCGAACTTTTCGACTCGTGCAAACATTCATGTCGATTCTCTGTCTGACACGTGTTAATCATACGTCAGATATGGTCATCATGTCCACGCGCCTACTTACCACTTTTCCCACATGTTACGGTGTTTAGTCTTTACCCTCGCTTTTTATTCCTGAAATGCCCTTCTGGTAACAAGTACTGAATTTTCACCTTCCCAAACTGCCCTTCCTGGTTTCTTCTACTTTAATAATTTCCAGGCATTTTTTTATTTCTAAGAACCAGGTCGTGTTTTGGGTGTGTTTGGTACATTGGACTGGACAAGCTAGAATAGAACAAGGATCTATGTCATATGTTTGGCATGATTTTTATGTAGAACCGACAGGAACATAGCCGAACAAACCTATTCCACCCCGGCCACATTGAACATGATGGAACAGACTTATATTTTACTAATATAAGCTCAAAATAAAAGTTATTTCTCTTCTAAAACATCAAATAAGTCTCATTTTTACTATTTTATTTATTGTATTTTATGTTTTTTAAACTTTCATTTTATTATACTCAAAATATTATTTTTATACGGTTTATATATTTTTCTTAATTTATTATATACTAATAATAAAAAATAATGTAGAAAAGAGATAAAAATAGAAATTAGAAACTTGATAAATTTTTTATTTTGTGTCATTTTAATTGTTTTGACAAAAACTTTCTAATAATATATGTTGTTATAAAATATAATTATTCTATTATAATTTAATGATTACATAAATTAATTAAAATAAACAACTCATTAAGAGTAAATTTGTCATTTTACTTATTATGTTATGTCCAGTTTTATCTTACCAAACGTTGAACAATTATTTTATTATGTCATGTCCTGTTTAGACACCAAACACACCCTATAAGAACATCTTTTAGAATATTGTCGTTTTAAATGGTCAAAAACAGTAGAATACTTTTTTTAAAAGATAAATATCATTTTTTTTCAACGAGAACAATTTCGTAAGGAAGTTCTAGGATACAAAATTATTTAGAGAGTTTTAGAACTATTAAGAAGCATAATTTTTTTTGGCCAAACAAAATTCACATGTTAACGATTCAAATGTTATCTCTTAATAAAACTATTAAGAGGTAAATAAACAACCCTAAGGGGTCGTTTACCAAACACTTACCCGGTAAGTGTTTACCGGTAAAATTTAACACTATTATTTACTTGGCGGGTAAGATTTTAGTCTACTAAAACGACATCGTATACAACCATTTACCCGGTAAGCGCTTACCGTGGTAAGAGTCCGTCGCCCTCACTTATCGGGTAAGACTCTTAGTTTTTGTCTCGTTCTTACCGGGTAAAATTCTTGGTCTTTGCCATATTCACCAGGTGAGGTAATGTTACTTAGTAAACACTTACCCGAATAAGCATTTGGTAAACGGCACCTAAGATAATATATTTTCATCGCAGGGGTAATAGTGTCATTCACTTTTACTCTTTAACGAGAAGCCAGTGGCAAATTCGTAACTAATAAGCAGCATTTGACAAGAACAAGTCGTCAGTGTTCCTTTGGCCCACCCGCTCATGTCGACCCCACACACTTCGGTTCTCATAAATTTATAAGTCCTTTCCCTCTCAAATCACCGATCTCTCTTCGCCGCCGATCAGCCGGTTCTCCGGCGAAATTCTTCATAAATGCTATTCTCAGTATCTGCTGCTCAAACTTTGCTTATGTTTCATCCGGTTACCTAATCGCAACTCCAATTCATTCAATTGGTCTTCTTCTTTTTTGAATTTGGAGGCGCATTTACAATGGGAGATTGTAAATTTCTTAGTACACATTTCTCTCTAATCGTTGCAAACTAGAGAAAATTTTCCGATAAGAAAACGAATTTCCTGCAGTGATTTTTATGTGTTGTGTACACACATTCATCACCGCTGTTTTGTGGATTTAGAGGAGAGAGATGTCGGGGACGAGGATGCCGACGTGGAAGGAGAGGGAGAACAACAAGAGGAGAGAAAGGAGGAGGAGAGCGATCTCGGCGAAGATATTCGCCGGCCTGAGGATGTATGGGAATTACAAGCTCCCTAAGCACTGTGATAACAACGAGGTCCTCAAAGCCCTCGCCGACGAGGCTGGATGGACCGTCGAGACCGACGGCACCACCTATCGTAAGGTATACTCTATAATCAAATCTGATTTACTCTGGTTTTTTAGAATATTATTAAATTCATATGATTTCAAAGCCTCTTTTCATTGGTACTGTTGACTTTGTTCCCAAATATACGAGTATAAACATATACCGGAACTGTTATCGTGTTTTTTGATGTATCATCGGTTCAAATCGCCGGTAGTTTAGTAATGCTTGACGGCGATGGTAGCGCATTTTAGCACGTCATATTTCGTGTTTAGGTGAAAGGATAGAAGTGTCCTGCCTCATTTCCGCCATATGTTACGAAGTTAAAGTGTGAAGTCTCCGGCGAGACAGTGAGCGCTCTCGATCGGCCGATGAATTAACGGCGCATTGTGGCGCATCGCCTCCGTCTTCCTCATGTTTGTGTTATACGAATCATGGCGCATCTTAGCAGTAAGATTTTAGGGTCTGATTAGCTCATATGTGTAGCTTTATCACTAATTTCACTCCGGAGTACATTAGATCCGGCCAGTACTTTGAATAACTTTTGTTCGTATTCGTTGTTTTCTTTCAATTGGACGCATAGATCTAAAAGATTCCCACAATTAGTACTGGAAAGACGGTAATGCCCTTGTAGGTATCTCAGAATTTCTTCCCAGGTACCACCGAAAAGAGACTGGTCAAGGGGTAGTTGTGGCATTCACTTGTGCAACAAGTATTTTCATTTTGCATATAATCGGAACCTGCCTTCCTTATGAATGCTTGCTGCTAAAAATTCAATAGCACCATGTACATATTATGTGTTTAATCCTTCAATTCCTGCGGCCTATTATATATCTAAATATATAGTTTCAATTTCAAGAGAAAACCGCAAAAAACGAAAAACCGAGGGACACTCTGGTAACCATTTATATGCAAAATGAAAATTTCCACATGCATAACATGTGCAAAATGAAAATATCCACATATAATTTATAAGCAATTTGGCCGGGATATATGTGCATAACATGCATAGTGGATAAAACCAATAAACAACTTCACTTACTTGTATACATGCATACATACCGTCTAAGATAAATGACTACCAAGATGTTTTTCAAGTTTCATCTTTTTTGGGGATTTTTCCTCAAACTTCCCTATATATATGTATGTGTGTGTGTGTTTAACTATTATCCTACGGGTGTGTTTGGTAGCAAGACTAATCGGGATGGTTGAGAGTCAAATAGACGGGGGGAAAAGAACTATGGAAGGTTTAATTTGGCATGGGTAGTTTAGTAATTATCAATTTTGTCTTCATTTGCCTAATTTTGTTCCCACCTATTTTGATGGGACCGGAAAAATGTAATTTTATCCCTCCCAAGTCTTGTCATAGTCTAATGTTGCCCCAAAACGTGAGAAAAGTGTGCAACGTCCAACATGTCCTACATACCAAACGCATCCTTACAGTATATGGAAGCTATGAATGGATTGGTCACTTAAATTCAATGTGAATCCAATAATCATGTATATCTCGTAATCAAGTGTTCTAGTCTGCATATGAACTCTTGTTCGGGGATGTTTGGTTGGTTTTCCAACAAGTCCGGATAAAGATGTCTGAGTGCATTAATTTGTCTGTATAGATTGAGAAAGTTTTTGTTTGGTAGGGTTTTTTTCATAGATGGTATTAACATGTTTTTTTATAATCGGAGGGGTTTGGAAAATACTTGGCTTTCCGCATAACGCTCCCTTTAAAAGCTTATTGAAAAGTCACTTTCTATATCATTAAGCTAGCACCAAAGAGTCATATATATAGCTGACCAAATAAGCTGTAAATCTCATTAAGCTCATTTAGCTGCTAACAAACAAGCTCTTAATGTCTACAGGGATGTAAGCCTCTAGACCGGGCACAGATTGGTGGGTCTGCTTCAGCGAGCCCAGGCTCGTCTTACCAACCGAGCCCGTATACTTCATATAACCAAAGCCCACCTTCCTCCTCAATCGCGAGCCCAACCTCATCTCCTTTTGCAGTGAACCCGCATCCTGATTCTCTCATTCCATGGCTCAAGAATCTCTCATCTTCATCCTCTTCCAACTCTTCCAAGCTTCCCCATGTTTACATTCACAATGGCTCCATAAGTGCACCAGTGACCCCACCTACAAGCTCCCCATCTGCTCAATCCCCTCCTCGAATCAAAACTGACTCTGCTTGGGGCGCGCCTCACTTCTCATATCTCCCTTCCTCAACTCCACCTAGCCCTGCCCGCCAAACCCTTCCTAACTACGAATGGTTCTCTGGCATTCAGGTCCCACAAAGTGGACCCACGTCTCCAACATTTAGCCTTGTGGCAGCGAACCCGTTTGGGTTCAGGGAAGCGGGTGTGGGTCATGGTGGATCACGGATGTGGACTCCTGGGCAAAGCGGTACTTGCTCTCCTGCGATTCCTCAAGGGTTTGATAACAACGCCGATATTCCAATGAGTGAAGTTGTTTCAGATGAATTTGCATTCGGAAGAGTGAAGCCATGGCAAGGAGAGAGGATTCATGAGGAGTGCGGGTCGGATGAACTAGAGCTTACACTCGGGAGTTCAAAGACCAGGTGTGTGCTTTAAAATGATCTCTTTACTATTTTTTAAAGTATATAACATCAATATACAATAAAACTCACCTACACTACTTACATTTGGTTGGGATATACCCGATACTGTTGGTACAATTTGGTTAATTGGTAAGCATTGTTTTACACGTTACTTATATATTACCATGTTGCAGATAAAAAAGAGAGCTTCCAACATATACATATCCATATTGCATGGGCATGGGTGCATAAGGTATGTTATGTGTGAATTTGATTGTAATTCATAGTCTTTATTTGGCAATGAATGCATAATTTGGTTTTTGGCTTTTTGTTTGTTGTTGTGCAAAATCATTAGAATTGGGTTGTGGTAATATTGGCTTTACCAGAAAGAGAAACAAAAAGGGATAAGTGGGACCACAGCACCATAAGTTTTCTCATAATTGCAGATTTTGGTGCTGTCTTTTGTGGTCTCTAATCAGCCTCATTCACCTAAACACATTCAAAAGAAACCCTAAAACAATGTTTGATATTTATATTATATTAATAAAAACTATTAGAGTCGTTTACCATACGTTAACTGAGTAAGTGTTTGTCGGGTCTTTTATTTTATCAGACAATCGAGAATCTTTCCTAATAAGATAAGCGAAGGTGGAGCGTTTATCTAGTAAACAACCACTTAATTTTCAAGAAAATAAGAGGTAATTTAACAAACGCTTATTGACAAAGACAAGAGTCACCATCTTACATCTCTTATCGACCACATAATATGAGTGAAAACTCATATTACTAATTCTATATATACCGATTAAGTTTTATAAATGAGCATATTTATCTTTTTTTTTCAATCTAAATTATTTTTTAATTACATAAATTATATTTTTTTTAAACTGATGTCCATTTCTAATTATTTAACCCAGTTTTTAAAATTTCAATCAAGAATATACTATATTATATAATATTTACAATTTGTAGGGAGGTTTTAACGAGAACATGTTCATTTTACGAAAACACAAGAATACATTTTTATTATTGTCAATCACATATAAAGGACGACCCTTGGTGCAATCTCGGTTACGGGTCAAGTCGTCCGTACTCATTAGGCCCCCTCACGTATATTATTACATGTGATAAGAGTGTTTTTGATGTGATAATATAATCCATCAAATGTGATATTAAATTAGAGATGTAGACGACTTTTAACGTGATCTAGGTCGCTACACACATCGTTTGCACCACCAGATCCTCTCATGTATACTATCACATGTAATAAGGATGTTATCGCATTTTGGTAAAATGGAGGTGTTCTCGTTTGAACCTCCATCTACCACTTGTTATTGATGCATATATACAACTTATTAATACATCTAAACTTTATAAAACTGATCTGTTACCAACTGATTAACATATTTAAATACAAAAGAAACATTTAACTCTATTAATACAATAAAGTAATTTATGAAACTGATAATCAAAAGAAAGTTCTCACTCTTAGAACCACACAAATTCATCAAATAATATCGAGAAAGATGAACTAGAAATGTCACGGGTCGGTAAAACTACATTTTTGGTCCAAATGTGCATACACAATCATCATCATCATCTTATAAATCAATAATTTTGCAGTTCTGTTTTTTATGCACAAATCAATAGGTTTCAAACACATATGTATGCAAAAGAATCTGTACAAACAAAGCTTTATTTACTACCTCCTCCCAACTTTCATGTACAATTTTGAGAGTGCATCATAAAGAATAGCAGCAGCAGGAGGTCTAGGCAATGAACCAAGAAGAATATCTGAAGTTTTTATCGACGGATTACCATAAAACCTGCAATTTTCTTGCGTTCGTGTCGTCACAATGCTTCCTTCAACCGAACAACCAACAAACGCACCTGCAAATAACCAACCGAGTCCGTAACACACATTTCCATTGTCTATACGACATAATCGAAGGAGTTATAAATCATAAATAACCACATCAGAAAAAGATTCAACTTTTTTTTCACAAAATAGCCAATAAAACTGCAATAATGCATGGGACTTTGGAAATCCTCCTCAGAGGTCAACGATCTGAGTCTTGCAAGACCACTAAGGATTTTCTTGGTTGTTCTCCAGGCCTGCAAGTTGGCCTGGGCACCCATGGTCAACAAAAAAGGACACTTCTTTTTACAGTCTCGCAACCTGCGACTTTGGCTTTTTTTGTACATAGACGCAAGGGACTACAATACCACAACTTGCGGTTTTTTAATGGTTTTTGTGGTGGGCCCACTTTTTCATTGGATGCATCAGATTTTCCTAAAAAAAGCAAGGAAAAGAGGCTTGCATTTGTTAACTTGCGGTTTGTTGGCTATTTTGTGAGAAAAATTGTAAGGTGGCTATAACGTAAATGTTTTTTTTCCATGAGGTGATCATTTGAGATGATAACTCGAATTGGAGAGTATGTTTGAAGCTACCTTTACTACAACTATATGTATAGCAAGCAGCATATCCACCATCACCAGCCCGGAAATCGGCTTCAGCAGCCCTTCCAACGATGCCAGCAGCGGCACTCGCCCCTGCTCCAACCGATAAATGTGCGTTTCCACCAAACGTCTTCACGGCATCGCTATTTCTCAACACGATTATGAAATCCATAACCTCCCCTCCAACCTACCACAAGTCGAATATGGCCAAAAGGGCTAAAGTTATAGTTCTATAGGATATGATGGTGGTCTACAATGATAAGATTGAGAAATGGTGGTTCACCTGAGCTCCCCAACCCATACCGAATGAAGAAATGGCAGATGGTGGAGACCAAGATCCGTCTTCTCTACGAGCAACAACTAGACCCGTACCCACGTTGTAGGTCACCATCATCCCGACCTTTGCAACGGTAAGAATCGCAAGTCCTTTTGCTTTTTTTAAAATAGAATTTGGTATCGCCTTTTCGGGGCTCAAAGAACCAACCTGACAAAATCATACATGTCAACTAACGTTCTTTGATTTTGTTTTTCACCTTGTTCTCGAATTTAGGAATAAAAGGAAAAAAGTTTACCTTAAAGTAACCGTGGATGGTGTTTGCAGCCTTATAAATCTCGTATTCCATGGTCTGTCCCCACGGGAAGTTGAGCCATGATCTCAATGTACTAAGGTCTGTCACGTCCTGCGTCGGTACTTGTACTGCACGACTCACTTGCTCCATTAGGTACGGTTGAATGGACTCGAGCCGAACACAACATACATCACACACTCTTTGAGGGTTTTCATGACGGAATTTTATGGGCAGTAAACTCCTTCCTTTAGAACACTCGTTGCAGAAGATCCCTCCACAAAATCGGCAGTGATGTCTAGAGCACATTATAGGATGAAACCGCACATTACACAGCATACAGTAAGCTGCGGCACTATCAGCCAACCATTTTGGTGGATCGGCCTCTAGGAGTTCCCTTATGCCGCCAGCGTTAACCTCCGTGAGATTATGGGACACCTCTTTCCAAGTATGCTCGAGAAGCTGGTCGGATAACCATGAAATTTGATACGCGTAAGAATCACCAGAAGTTATGGATCTCACCCGCCCTCCAGCTGCAAGTAACATATCGAGAACCACATCCCACATCGTCAACTCCTTGTCTTCAGCAACAAACTGATCCCAGTCCATGTCAACATCACGTATGTAGTTTGTGTTCATACGGATTCCTCTGTTCCATTCTTCACGTTGGCTTTCTGACATTGGTGGAACCGAAACAGGAATCCAAACCCCAGTGTCTTCGGTAATCGGTGGATCATAATAGAAATTCTCGCTTTCTTTTTTCTCGTGGTCATCATTCGAATCTTCATGAGTATCACTGCCCACCCTGCTACCGACTATTGTCTTTGTTTTTTTGGCTTCAAGTACTGGCATTTCTTCTGTTCTAGGATCACAACTTCCCCCTCCATTGCTATATTCGTTCACCCCTTCAGAACCCTAACCATTTACAAGCTCTTAGTCTCGGTATTAGCAAATAATAAAACCAAACCAAACCAAATGAGCACAGTACATCCCACCAGAGGTAGGGTCTAGAGGGTATGTACACAGACCTGACCTCTACCTGAAGAGTAGAGCGGTTGTTTCCGTGAAGACCTTCGGCTTGTACAAAGTGTACGAAGGAGAAAAACACATATAAGATGCAATTTGAAAAGCTAGTTATGTTTAAGTGATAACATACAAGTATAAGATAGATCCCCACCCCTAATCTGCTACCCTAATCTTGGGTCTCCAAGAACTCCTATCAGCAGATAATACACACAAACCAATATAACAAATAAACACAAAATTCTCCAGAAATATAAGAACTTTGAACAATTTTCTTTTATTAACCTGGATATCCAACCCGCTATGCGAGCCGACTAATCACATAGCGACCACCTGCTTTGCAGATAACCTAAAGTCACCGCATTTGAACCTCCGTGACTACAAGGAGATTTTTATTCCTTCTTAGAATTGACCTACTGGTACTTTTAACCTTTGGAGTCAGGCTCAAACCAATCAGACACCACCCTTTTAGTTGAACTTTGCAACAATTGATATCAAACAATCATAAATATAACAAGAAAATTGCAGATACTCAAAAAAACCCAACTCTCAGCAAGCAGAATTGATCAAGACCCCTGGTTCCATTATGTTTTCCCCCAAAAAGCTACAAGAAAATTACAGATTAGGATCCATTAAAGTACTTGATGTGGTGAAGTTTCTAAGTTTGATTTTGTGCATTTTAAACTGTTACAATCCTGAAATATAACACTTGAGGCTTAAGTTACCCAGAATTCACTCTCAAAAAATACACGCAACCAACAACCACCAGATAGTAAACATCAAAGCTAATCTACCATCGTTTGATAAGAAGATCAATGAATTTAACTTAGAAATAACAGCAAACAGTCATAGAATTCAAGATAATTGCAAAAAAAGTAGGAGGAAAAATGAAAGCAATAGAGAGATTAAGAGTTTGGATTACCTTGGGAGGGAAGATTTTGGGTTCGTAATCATGGAGATGAATCAGGGGATATCGCACAACATCAGGCTGATCCATCTGATAGGAATCGTGAGACGCATCAATCAATCAATCAAACTGCATCGGGATTGTTGGATTGAAGATTAGGGTTTATTGAGTATGAAGAGAGATGAATCGTAGCCACGGTGACGATGATGTATGGAATCTCCTTTTATCCATCTTTTCTCCCAATCTTTAATCATTAAATAATGTTCCCATGGAATCAAATCCATAATTTTATTTTCATTTGTTTCTATAATTTTTTTTATTAACCTGAATATCCAAACTGCTATTTGAGTCGACTAATTCGAGGACGACCATTTGTTTTGTAGATAGTTCAGAGTCATCGTATTTGAACCTCCGTGGCTACAAGGGGATTTTTATGCTTTTTTTTTATTTGAACATAAGACCTCTAGGTACTTTTGATCTTTAGAGTCAAGCTCAAACCAATCAGACTTCACCCTTGTGGTTTATAAATATTATTTTAGATACCGATGTGTTTTATTTTCAGATTAATTTTTTTAATATATACTAGAAGCGTACTCGCGCAATGCAGCGAGATACATCGTGATTTTAATATTTCATTTTATTCTTTATCTGAGTCGATGTTATAATATGGTTTTATGTGATTTTGAGAAAGAGATAATGTTTTTATTTTTGAATAAAATATATGTTTGAAGATATCATAAAAATTTGACAAAAATATATCGATATTAGTATCAAATTAACTATTTGAAATT